TGATTATAATATGAGAGGGTAGTGAGAGTTCTTTTCCCTCTTTTGGTTTTGTGTATAAGTGATGTATAATTCTTCTTTTGGTTGGTTGATGTTGTTTCTATGTGATTCTATATGGAATTGTGAATTGAATGATGCCAATGTTGTGATTGTTACTGTTAATTGTTGTTGTTGTGATGTTGTTCCATAAGAATCCCAAATCTAGGAAATATAGATTTAGGAAATTGATGAACAATGAAAATTTGGGTGTAGAAAACTGTTATATGATGATAGATCAATGAAATTAGATGAAGCCTATAAGTTATTATGTGCAAAAACATTGTTTTAGATCCAATTTAGGAGGCTGAAAATGTGAAAAATGAACGAAAGTCGTTCTGGTGCGGTAGTAGGTTATGGAACACGTTGGATGGTCATATACGTATGGTACATGTATGAGGGGACACCCCATGGGCTGTACGTGTATGATAAGTTCCCTATCACCAGAACCAACACAACCATCTGCTGGTACGCGTATGGGGAAATTCCATATGCGTATACATGGAGCCATACGCGTATGGGAGTTGTCTGAGTAAGATGAGAGGGAAATCGCCTCTGGTGTATGGATATAGTATGTGTGTGAGGTTGGAAGTTAGATCCAACGCGTATGATACACCTATAAGATGAACGAGGAAGAAGTTGTATGCGTCCGATACGTGTATGGGCAGGCTGATATGTAGAAATTTCTGTTTTCGTGATTTCTTTCATGTTTTCGCGTGCGAAATATTTTTCCTTAATCTTTAATGAGTAGTGTGACTTAAGTAGATATAGGAAGGATAGTAATAATGGATATTGGATTAAAAACGTGGAACCTTGTGTGGATTTGTATGTTGCATGATGATAATAATGTTGGTGCTTATTGGCAATTGTAGTGGGCTTACGCCTTATGGTTGCATAGTTGTGGTGTTGCATGTTGATGATGTATGCATTCATTGGTGAAAGCTTATGCCATGTTGTTGGCCTGTAATGGTGTTATATTGAGAGATTATGCCATGTTGCTGCTCTATTTGGAATTATGTTTAGGGATCATTCCCTGTTGGTACCATATGCATTTAGTTGTTGTCGGTTGCATTGCATTACACTATTTTGATTTGATATTATTGAAGGTGTGAAGAAATTACAAGAAAGGGGAGTTTGAATTGAGTTTTTCTTTCTTGACCAACTTTCTCTTCTAAGCATTATTTTTTAAACAACGCTTCTGGATATTGCTTATAAGCAATGCTTCTAATTGAGTTATGAAAACATAAACTATTAGGCATAATAAAAAGTAAAGAACATGTGATATATCCTGGTTCACATGAGAAAATCCCAAGCTAGTTCGGTCCATCCTGCCAAGGTGTTTTCACCTTGAACTCAAGGACTTAATCCACTATAACCAATCTGATTACAATCGCACAGGAAATCGTTGATGACTAACATCCAATGACGTGTTCAGGGATCCAAACTGGATATAATTTTCATTGACCCAATAGAATCTGATTCCTCATAATCTTCTACCATGATTTCTTTCCAATGATATCCATCAGTGATCTCACAAGGCTGACCTTCACCCGGTCCCCTTTGAGATATGACTACCATTTACCCAATAGAATCCACTACCAAGATTTCATAATGACCTTAAGTCACTATCTTCTTGAGCACATACATTCACTCAGCCTCTCAAGGTATCATCAAACAATTGTTTACAATAAAATGCTTCTACACAAGCTGGATATAAACAGAATTTAAGCATATATCAGAAGATCCCAATACACACTAAAAATATTACATTGTATTGTAGCTTGATGCGTGGTCTTCTTTTCTTCAAGTAGCTTCTTCTCGGACAACAACCCAAAGCACTTGAATTATTGAAGTCTTCTTCTTCATAAGCTTCTGGAAGCTTTGTTGATCTTGATGTAGTAAAGAGAAGAACTTCTTCATCTTGTTTCACCTTAGAACATTATGGAAAACAACCCTTGTTTTATTTCCTTCTATGATCACTTTATAGAACAACATTTATGTTGTGGATTTGTAACTGAAGCTTTCATGACCATCTTCATTATCTTCTGCGGCTTAGCAAGCTTTGTGAAACATATGAAATTAAGCACACTGTGAATCAATGATTTCATTGTAATCATTATCAACATGATTGAAGAATAATTTTGATAACAGTTGTTCTTATTATTGTTATAGTGGTTGGTAGCTTTTTGGTTGTGTTTCAATAATGACAACTTTCATTTTTAACATTGAGTACCAACAACATTTTAAACATACAATTCTTTTCTTATATATCCAAGCAAAATATAGTCGTTGGCTATTTGAAAAGAGTCATTACAAATAGTACTGCTACGTCCTTTTATCTTCCACAATTCAAGCTAGTGGAGAGGTAGTGGAATGAGGCTTTTTTGTACTGTGTACTATTGTACCATGTTAACGTTATATTCTTTCCTTCTGCACTCCAGAGGCTTTTGTGAGCATGAGTTTAGAAGCAGGAACATAACGTAAGGTCTTCAGTACTCTAAGTCTTCAGAGTCTTCAGAATTGCGTCTTCAGAGTCTTCAGCACTTGGTCGTGAGAACCTATTGTAGAGAACCTTGGATCAGAAGAGCTTCAAGTCTTCAGAGTCTTAAGAGTTGCGTCTTTAGAATCTTCAGCATTTGGTCTTGAGAACCCGTTGTAGAGAACCTTAGATCAGAAGAGCTTCAAGTTTGTAGCATCTGGACTTCAAGTTGAGCTTTGAGTCTTCGATCTTTTGACTGATTTATTTAGAATATGTGTCTTCATATCAGAGATAACACTTCAGAGCCTTATGAATGTTTTGCTATTGTTCAACAGAACGTATGTAGCACAGAAACCTAACTAATTCTCTTCTAATGTCTTAGCCACACCATTCATCAAAAGCAGAAACTGTTTGTTAAATACTCAACGATAACAAACATTAGAGTATCAAAATTGTTCATACAAACATACTCATTTATTATCATCAAAACTCAGAGATAATATTGCAGAACCAAATCTTGTTCTTGCAGTTGTGTTATATGAATGAAGAATTTGTTGCAAAGTATTGTGTGAAATGTGCATTTTGTGAATTATGTGAATTTTGTGAAATACTAGTCTTTAACATGTGACATTCACCATATATTCATTAAATGTAATTCTCATACTTTTTCTATTGTTGTGTTTGTGCTCCTCGGGGAATACAGATAACCAGGTATCCGAGTAGTGCTTGAAGTGAGTGTTGCTTGATTGAGTATTAGGAGTCACTCTGATACGTAACATAGAATTTGAGAATTTGCTATATTTTTGCATTGTTATTTTTATTGTTACGTATCTTAATTCATGATTATGTTGAACCACACGTTTTGTAGAGTTTTTATTATTTTTGAGACCTCAACGCCATGAAGTAAATTAATTTGAGATGTTCTGTTGCTTAGTTGATTACTATGAATAAATGAAGTAATAAAATGACTTGAGAGTTTATGAATTTACTTGAATGATTTGACATCCCATTTGTGGACTCTGATGTATTATTATGTATATTTTATTATAATAATAATAATTATTATTATTATGGGAAAGTGGAGTGTTACACTCTTGCCTTCACATGGTTTCACATCTTGTATACACAACCCTAACTTCTTGAAAATTCTGAGACACATGAGGTCTCAAGAGCCTCTGTCATCAATGAGGATCCCCGCCATCGAATGATTAGTTATGGTGGTAGTTATAACTATCAAAAGTGTTCAATTAAGAGTTTTGTCCACCTTCACGTGGTTTTGAAACCCTAACATCGACATATCTTTATATCGTTTCTCAATCTGTATAACATTATATGACGACGGCTTTTTCTCGTTAGGTAGGCTCTGATCGATTGAAACAATGATGAAGATTATAGATGAATCAATGTTAAAAGGACAAAAATTTCTCATGAAAGTAAGATCGAGAGTTTCTTTCTTCATATTAGTGTGACTCTTATATCAATCGTGACTTGAATCAAATGAACTTGATTGTGGACATTCGTAGGAATTAATAGTTGATTCCCACTGACTACGCCTATGTTCTAGATCAGAACTAGAGATGATCGATGAAACGACGAAGTAATATTTCACTACGATAGACTTGAGCTTCTGATACCGTGGAGAAGGGGCTGAGCTGCAATGTTAAAACTCTAACGCCCAAACTAGTAAAAGAAAAATAAGTAATGTCTAAGTGAGAGTTTGAATCATATCTTTTTCTTTATTTCAATCCTTTATTTATGTGAGTTGGTTGAACTCAGAGTATTCAAGGATTAGATTAGATGTGGACTATTTCTTATTGAGCATTTAACCGCCTCAAATAAAAAAAATATAAAATATATTTAGCATAAGTGTATATAAGTAAATCAATAAAAATTAGAATAAAATATTATGTAAAACACAAACGAAGGAAATAAATTAAAAGTTAAATGAATAAATTTTTTCTTAAAAATTATACATTGATTTTATTAAAAATTAATTTTCTATTGATCTTTTCAATACAAATTTTTATTTATTATATAAAATATGTTTACACTATCAACTAATGAGAGATATACATTTAATTAAAATATAATTTTAATTTAAATAAATTAATATAACATAATAATTATAAAATTTTTTATTATTGATTTATACTGTCGGGCATTGACTTTATTTGGATTTTATTAAAAGTTAGCATTATCCATTTTTCTTTTGAGGAGATTAAAATCTAAGTTATTGCATACCAATTTTTTTTCTTTATAATCTGAAAATCGGGATTATAAAATTTGCAATATTTTTTTTTTACGAAAATAAAATTGCAACAAAAATGTTTATTGAGAAATAAAATTGCAACATTAATTTACAAGTTTGAGTATTTTGAAGAATACACAAGAGAGCTCCAAGAAGAAGCTTTTTATTTTTATTTTTGGAAGAACGCAGTGCGAAACCAAAAATCAAATAATTTCAAACGGAAAAAAGCATCAAGCAACCATGTATCATCCAACTAGAGGCGGCGTCCGTGGCGGCCGAGATCGTAAGTTTCATCTCTTTATTTTCTCCTTCAATTTCTCGTTGATTTCAATTTCTCCATCTACTCAATCGTTTCCTTTTTGCTAATTTTACGAATTCGTTCTTCAATTCGAGTTTTTCCTGATTTGTAATTTGTTTGATTCGACCATAGAACCCTAATGATTACAGATTTATTGTTTAGAAGTTTAAACTTTAGGTTTTGATTTTAAATTATTTATGTATGATGTTGTTAAAAGTTAGTATAAATCTTGAATTGTTGTTTGATTTGTGTTTATGGATTTTACTTTTGATGAGCAGAGTTTACTTGGGATGATGTAAAAGCTGATAAACACAGGGAGAACTATCTAGGTCATAGTGTCAAGGCCCCTGTTGGTAGATGGCAGAAAGGTAAATTTTTTTTTTCTATTTTAACTTGGACAATATTTTCTATATGCATTTGCATTTATCATGGGTACAAATTGCATTTTCTGTAGGGGTGCTCGCTTCCTTCACCTAAGTTTCCCCTTAGTGCTGTCTATATCCTAATCCTATCACCAGATTACAGTTTTACAACTTTTATATTCTTCACTTTGTTACTGTAGTTTAGGTTATGGCATAATATATCTGATAACATGGGACAATAACTGCAAAAGCATAGCATACGCTTGGGTTGGACATATTTCGTATAAAAGATTATGGTTATGTTTAGAGATGAATGTCTTCCAAAGTAAGTCTAGGTCCTTTTTTTTTACTTGAACTAAAATTTAAGAAGCTAGCAAGGTTGAAGAGGGCTAAAGAGACATAAACAAGTTAATTTATCCATCCTCTGTCCTGTTCCTAGGATGTCTTAAAAGGGCTAGAGGGACACATAAATATAAACAGTAGACTGTTGTTTGGCTATTCACATCCTAATAAGGTAGCGTCTTTTCTCTTTTAATTCAACAGGGAAAGACCTTTTCTGGTATACCAGGGATAAAAAGTCCCAGAGTGCAGAAATGGAGGCTGCAAAAGAAGAGATTAAAAGAATTAAGGAAGAGGAGGAGCAGTCAATGAGGGAAGCTCTTGGTTTAGCTCCTAAGCGTGCTAATCGTCCTCAAGGTAACCGTCTTGATAAGCATGAATTTTCAGAACTAGTAAAAAGAGGGTCTACAGCAGAAGACTTAGGTGAAGGTCATGCTGAAGCAGCAAGAGTTCAAGGTGTTGGTTTTGCAAGGTAAAGTGACCACAATATTTTTATTTTCTAAAGTAATGGAGTGGATTTATTTTGTTCAATAGTTTTTAGAATTTCCTGTTTCAATTGTTTCTTATTCTTAGCACATCATTTAAAACATTTGGATTTACGAGCAACTTGGTGGGTTTGCCTGGGGTGACACGTGGGAAATAAGTATTATTGTTATAGTATTATTTGAGTCTGACATAGATTACTGTTCTTATAGTATTATTTTTGGTTTATTTTTTTTTTCCCGAAGAATTGCAGAATTATAATTTTTTAAACATGTCTTTTAATTGAGAAATTTTTTTTTTTTTGAAAAGAAGCACAAATAGGCCCTTTATTTAGCAAATGGCCAAAAAGTGTGAGTGTGGCTTTGTAACTGTAGGAAACCACATTAGGACCTATGTAGAGGAAGTTCTATGCTATGTATGAGTGCTTACATTTCTTCTTTGGCAATGTTGGTGTAACACTGATGTGAAAGTTACCCAACATGGATTGGATTGATGTGGTTTTTATGTTTATGAATAGAGAAAAGAAGAAATAACATTGAGGTGTGTGAAATGCAGCTTTCTCATGATTTATATAGGTCACAAGAAGAAATACAAAATTGATAAGGAGAGGAGGAGGCATGATTCAGACTGAATATACTACTCTACTAGGTTTTCTCATCATCAAATATGAAATGAAACAACATATTTAGGGCTTGTTCGGATGGGCTTATTTGAGCTTATCTACTACCATAAGTTTTAGGACTCTGTTTGGGAGACTTAATTAGAATAGCAAATAACATTTTTTATAAACATTTTTGAAGTATTTTTATAAATGCTTCTAGCTAATGAAATCAACGTAACATATATAGAAACAATTTAAATTTATTTTATCTTTTGTTATAAAAATAGCTTATGCGAGCTTACTCATAATAAGCACCTATGTTGATAAGCACTTGTGTTATAAGCTATACAAATAAGCTGTTCTATTTTCATAGCTTACTGTATCTTCTTGACATAGTAATCGATAGCCCAACAACAGCTTGCATTTACTGTTATCAGTGTTATCAAATATCTGCTGTGGCCACGCTATAGTAGCAGATATACATGGCGGTTTTTGGCTCGCCGCAATGGTAAATATCGGCTGATATTGCAGGTTTTTTGCCATAATCCGCTATAATGGCGCCAGAAAAGGCCGGTATGGCAGTATTTTGGCTTTCCACCATGGACTGCCATCCGCCATCGACAACACCGACTGTTATCAGGATATTGTACTATCAGTCAGACATTTTTTATTTCGAGAGGAGTGTCAGAAGATATGAAAATGTCATATAGTGTCTGGATAGATTTGTTAAAGCATGAGATGGTCCAAAAAGTAGTTTAGTAAATAGGGATGACAATGTGTAAGTATGGGTGGCGTACCATAGTATCCATCTCTATAACGACCGTTAATATTCATGTACGGTCTTAAAAATTGCGTTTTTAAATGTATGCTGATTGCCTGTTTAAAACTTCAAGTTTATTTTCTTGAAGTTACAGTCTGCTTTGCTAACTAAACTATTATTCCATCTCTTATGTTTATCGTCCAGAAACTCTGCAGTATTTTGATACTTATTTTCTACTATTTGTAGAGAACCCCACCCCTGGGAAGAACCCGGTTCCTCAAAGGTCTCGCATACATCAATTGAGGGAGAAAATGTATCCATGCCTAATCAACCACCCAAAAAAACTGAAGATGAATCTGAGGATGAAAGTAGGCGAAAGAGAAGACGGGAAGAGAGGAAGGAAGAGAAGCGTGAAAAGCGTGAGAAGAAACACTCCCATGAGGAAAGAAAGCAAGAGAAGCGTGAGAAGCGACATTCTCGTGATTCAGATGACAAGAAGAGACACAAGAAAGACAAAGAGAGGAGGAGACATGATTCAGATTGAATTCTCACTCCTTTTGAGATTTCTCATCATCCAACGTGAAATGAATAACATTTTTACCCTGGTTTCACGACTTATTTTCGGTATAAACAACATTCCAGAAGCCTGCATTTATAGTTATCACTTATGTGGCTATGTGGCGTTTCAAGTAAGAAATTGATATTTAAATGATGCGAAGCTTCATCAATTTAAGGTTTTGAAATTGTAGCCTCTTGCTGTATAAAAAATTGAAGTGTATGTCTTTCTTTACCTTGTTGTATTGATAATTAGGCTTTGCGTGGTGTTGCTGACATGGGCTAAAATAAGCTTAATAACGTCCACAAGTCCTACTTCACCGGGCAGTAGTCAGAAGCCAAAATTGCTAGATTGGACGCCGGTTATAATATTGGTGTTCACGATTGTACGGGAGTTTTTAGTGATTATTATTTTTTATACGTACAAAAAAAAAAGCGCCTACTTAATTAGTCAAACTTTTAAAAGCGCCTATTTGAGGCTTTTTATCAAATTCATCATTAACATAATCTTCGACTCCAGTTTCAATTATGAGTCAATTAAATACATATTATAAATTCTACCCTGTGTTTTGAAGTCAATTAAATGAGTATGTTTAGATTATCAAAAAAATAGTGTTTTAATATTTCAAAATTCAAATTGAATATTAAGTCATTAGTCATCTAGGTTGTGGTTCGTTGAAGTCGTTATCACTCAATTTTAATCAAATTGTTGAATCTTTTAAATAATTAAATCATAAAGACATATTTGATCCAAATGAAACTGTTGATGAATAATTTTCAAGAACGCTTGCCATTGCAAATCTACGGCATCACGTGGAGAAAGAGTGGAACAAGTCTTGGTTGGTTGTTGAGAAGATCTTAAAGTCCATGATAGCAAAATTCAATCATGTTGCCTGCGACATCAAATAATTCAATGTTGTCATAGCACTTTCCATTGACCAATTGTAGAATAGCTTGCTTGTGCACGAACAAAGAATGAAGGGTTAGAAAGATTTCATTGAAGAACAAACTCAAAAATTTCAAGTGATACCTGTCAAATCTTTCATGAAGAGAAATGCTTGATATTAACCACCTACATGTCTCAAAATATAACGTATGTCATTTTTGCACTAATTTTCATACATCAACAAAAGCATGCAACTGAGATATTATTCAAGTTTGGTGCGGAAGAGTGCAACAAGGTGTGTAGTCTAATCGTTCATGGATGCAAGCAAATCGTAGAGGGCCTAATGTACCTTCTAGATACAAGACCTGATATGTCTTTTTCAGTGTGTCTAATGGCTAGATACTTGAGGAGACCTACTGAAATGCATGCTGCAGCCATCAAGAGAATTATGAGGTACCTGGAAGGCATCTTGAGCCTTGGCATAGATGGAAATGGTTTGCAATTGCAAGGATAGACTGATTCAGATTATGCAGGTGATAAGGATGATAGAAAGAGTACATCATGGTATGATTTCGAAGTTGGCTCTGATGCAATCTCTTGGTTCTCAAAGAAGCACATATAGTCACCTTTCCACCACAAAAGCAGAATTTGTTGCAATTAGAAATGTCCTAAGTCACTTGAAGATAACTTGGAAGAAAAGCTCAATAATTTCATGTGTTGACAGTTCATGAATAAAGTTGTCAAAAAATTCAATCATTGCAAGAAAGATGCAAGCACATTGATATTAGGTTTCATTTTCTTAAATACCTTACTAAAGATGGAGTGATTGAGTTAGGGCATTGCAACACTGATCTAGATCAACTGACCAATACTCTCATCAATGGTTGAGTTAAGGCATTGCAACACTCTAGATTAACTGACCGATAAAGCTTGATTCCTTTGTTAGATTAATGAAGAGTTAGGAATGAAAACTTGTATAGTATTAACTGATTACTTGTAATAATGATTAATGTAAGGGAGAATTTGTTAAGTAGCTTGCAGCTTTGGATTATTTTTAACATTACTTGTGATGCAAGTAATAAGTTTTGTACTAAACATCTTGTCTATATAAAGCTATGTGCTAATGCAAAGAAATCAGAAGATACAGTTTGTAACCAATAAATGGTATCAGTTAGGAGGAAACTTTGGTACTTATGATCCTACAAAGTCGTTCAACAATATTAAAAAGATAGTTTATGTAGTACAATACAACCTTGCTTTGAATCATAATGCCACTATTCATCCTTGTCACCATTATCATCATCATCATCATAGTAACTGAAAGGATGAGGAACTGACTTAAATGGACGGTAGTTTCCAACATTGTTCAAGTGCTCATTCTCCAACCTGACAGAAAAATGTTTGAAAAAAATGCATTCAAAAGCAAATTTAAAACCATAGAGTTTTACATGTCGAATTAGAAGTTACCTAAAGAAGTTCCATATGCCACGGCGAATAATTTCAAGACATGAAATACATGTATTGATCGCCACTTTATGAAGGGGACGCCAATCCAGTTCAAGCACCAATTGCATCCATGAAAGTCTTAGAACAACATTCACAACCTGTGAATTAGCAGATTCACTATTAATCTAAACATGCATGCACATAAGATGAAAACCAATTTGTATTTGATTAGTTCATTCATTGTTACCATGGCTATGTAGTAGACACTTTTGTGAGAAACTATGAGTTTATCCCTCAAATAACGATTCTTCGAATGTCTTTGCAAGAGACTCCAATCCTTCACAATGTCCCAATATGTGTTCATTAATATTGCTACACATGAACTTATAAGTGCCAACACCTTCCATGTCATTCCCTTCTTTGTTTCAAAGGTAGTCCTAATCACCATAGCAACAATTGTTGATAGATACTTTGAACCATTGATCGCGTGGTCAATATCTCTCTCGCCGTACAATTGACGCATACACTACAAAAAAATGTTGCTTAGGTTAGTGCATAATGCTCCCACGAGACGGAGTATAGAACGGTCGATGTACAAACGGCCGTGCAAACCTGTGCCAAACGAAACCAATAAGGAATGACGCCGGCCATGAAGTATTGTATATTATAGATACCGTGACTTCTACATTTGTTTTGCCTCCTTGAGTGTTCTCCAAGGCCATAATAGCATATGTAAAGAACAAAACTTCTGAAGGATTGAAACTATTCCAGAAAATACAAAATTGAGTAATATTATTAGAATGTGAAATATTTTCGCATTAACCTTGATTATATAAAACCCACAGGAGCACATAAAGACCTGACTCGTAAGTTGATCAGCCAAGAAAAAATCTGAAAGTGAAACCTGCACAGAAAAGTCATTCTTTATATGATAATTAATCATGTCATTCAAATTTTAATTTCATATTTGTTTCGTTTACCGGAAAAAAAGGAGCACATATGCAGCGGAATAAACATCGAATAAAGAAGAAACGACTTGATCGGTATATGATATTGAAAGGGCAAAAGGTGATCAAAATGACAAGCTGCAAATGAAAAAATAAATGATTAGTCCATGACAAATAATGTACCGAGAAGTTATATTCAAAACTATGAATCTTACGACAATTAAGCTCAGAGGGACGAGTTCAGTGGCTGTTTTATAGCTTCTATCGGTTTGATTCATCTCAAGCTGCAAATTTATCAAGAAACATAGTACTGCAATCACTGCATGGCCAGTGGTGAGAAGGAATACATCTCTATGATCCAACTCAGTTCCAGGTCTGATACCGAACAGGAATTGATAGTTAATCCGATATCGCCTCCAAAAATACGTGTTTGCAGCATACATTAGCATATGTATAGTAATATATCCAAATAGACTGCAAGAAATTTGCTACAATCTTAAATAAGGCTTACACATAAGCATTATCATATAAGTGCTTATTTATAAGCTATTTCTATAAGCTCTAATCACTATACCTGTATAATGGGAAAATGTTTTCCATGTAAAATGTTCCTGCTTTTTTCTTCATTAAATGTTGAGATATTATTCTTAGTATTGTAGCAACTAGTAGAGCAACAAAGCAACCAGAAAAGAAGCCTAAAAGAAACAAGACAAGATAATTAAGCATTAATCAACAGTCTTTGGAATTAAACAAAATCATTCACATGATAATATTTTTAAACATCGTTGTGTCGTTTACCCGTAAAAAATGTTATGCTGTGCCTTTCTCTTTTGTTTTTCGGCCTTAGCAATTTCCTTCCTTTCTTGTGATTTGAATGTGTGAAGTTTCTGATGAAGATAGATTCCACTTTCTCCAGAAGAAAACTCACCTAAAATTAGATGAAGTGGATTGCCTTATTTGAAGAACTTATGAAAATAAACCGAAAACAACGGATGCTTCAATACAAGTAATTCCAGCAAACCTCATCAGAAGTACCGAGAAAAGAGTTGTCCACTACTCTCATGTATGCTATCGAAGCTCCTCTTTGCGCTTTCTTTTTGAGCAAGCATATTAAAATAAAACGAAATTAAACAAATCTTGTCAAGTTCCGGGATATTCTTTTAAAAGTATTTAGTTCATTGTCGAATTTACGAAGAATGCAACTATAAAAACTGAACTTTCATAGGTTCTTAGTACAAGTCTAACCTTTTCATATTTCTTCATGATCTTGGAAAATGCTGAGAGATTCATAAAACTGATCCATTTGCATAGTAATAAATACACAAAATAGAAAACTTTTTGAAAAATTGAAATGCTTAATGCTTTTGGTTATTACCTGTAATCTTTGAGATGGAGAAGTTTCTGATAGAACTCAACAAACACAAGTCTAAGTTGTTTTTCAACTTTTTTCAGCTCTTCTTTATTGAAACTTAACTCAACATCATTTGAATCTGTAAAAACATTTTTGATTGATGATTTTGGAGATTGAAGAGCATTATCAATCTTTACATTCTCAAGGACTTCCATAGGGTCTATTCTTTTGTAATCAACTTCAGTGCTCACCATAGAGTCTTTCTGCTGCAGTCCTGCAGATTCGGTTGAATAAACTTTAAATGTTAGTGGATTTTTTATTAAATAAGATAGTGGGAAGGTTAAAAATCAAATATAATTTGAAAGGTCAAAAGATAGTGGGTTATAATAATATTTATCAATAGCATTTACTTTCCTAGAATAGTAGAAGTTTTTTGGTCTATATAAAGACCAAGATTGTATTTTATTTTTAACAAAACAAGAAGTAGAAGTTTGCTCCTTATTTAACAAATTGGCATCAAAGCAAATGGCAAACATGATGAATCAAATACCGTTGTCACGGCTAACGAAGTCAAATTACGAAAACTGGAGTATCCAAATGAAAGCTCTTCTTGGATCTCTAGACGCGTGGGATGTGACCAGAGATGAGTTTGAAGAACAACAAATATTGGGGAATATACGACAGCTCAAAATAAGGCACTGAAAGAGATGCGATCGAAGGACAAAACGACACTATACATGTTGTTCAAGGCTGTAGTCGAATCAGCCTTTGAAAAGATTGCTGGTTCGACTACGTCGAAAAAAGCATGGGACACGTTAGAAAAAGTGTTCAAAGGAGCAGATCGAGTGAAGTAAGTTCGACTCCAAACTCTTCGTGGCAAATTGGATAGGATACAGATGAAGGATACAAAAATTGTATCTGACTACATCACACGTGTACAAAAGGTGGTGAACCAACTCACCAGAAATGACGAAACAATAACTGATGCACGAGTTGTTGAAAAGATCTTGAGATCTTTAATAGATAAATTTGAGAATATTGTGTGTGCAATAGAAGAGTCGAAGGACCTTTCGACGCTCTCAGCCGAAGAGCTTGCTGGTTCTCACGAAACACAAGAACAACGAAAGATGAAAAAGTAGGAAGAAGCAGTCGAAGAAGCAAATCAAACCAAGGAGTCGAACAAAGGCGAAAAGGTACTCTTTTCTCAAAACTTCAGAGGAAGAGGAGGTGGCCGTAGAGGTCGTGACAATGGTCGAAGTGGTCGAAGCAGCAACTTCGAAAGAGGACAATCGAACCAACAAAATTGGCGTGACAGAGGACGTGGTCAAAGAGGTGGTCGACCGAACCACTCCAACTTCGAATGCTACGAGTGTGGGAAGTATAGTCATTACGCGAAGGATTGCAACTCCTACAAATGTTACAAATGTGATAAAGTGGGACATCTTGCAAAAGATTGTCGAATCGAAAAGAAGATTGGAGAAACAACTAATCCAACCTTGGAACCTGAAGCGAATGAAGGCTTTCTCCTGATGGCTCAAAACGAAATCAACACCAATAATAACAATGTTTGGTATCTTGACTTGGGAGCAAGTAATCACATGTGTGGTTACAAACACCTGTTTAAAGAAATGAAGAAAATTGAAGATGGTAATGTGTCTTTCGGAGATGCATCGAAAGTGAAGGTCGAAGGAAAGGGTACATTTAGTTACTTGCAGAAGGATGACTTGATTGGATCAATCGAAGATGTTTACTATGTGCCAGATCTCAAGACCAACATCTTGGGTTTGGGACAACTTACAGAAAAAGGTGTTTCGATACTTATAAAAGATCGAATACTGCATTTGAAGGACAAAGGAGGACATCTGATCGCCCGTGTCGAAATGGAAAGAAATCGAATGTACAAACTGAACCTGAGGAACGTTCGAGAGAAATGTATGCAAGTCGAAATGCAAGACAAAGCGTCACTATGGCATATGCGCTTTGGTCATCTACATCATGCTGATTTGAGAAGGTTGGAAAAAAGGAACATGGTGCATGGACTACCAGACATGGATTATGAAGGAAGTTTTGTGAAGAATATGTACTCAGCAAACAAACAAGAACCTCATTTCAAAAGAAGGCAGAATATCAAGCTAAACATATTCTCGAATTGATTCATACTGACATATGTGGGCCAATCACTCCAGAATCCTTCAGTGGAAAAAAGGTACTTCATTTCTTTTATCGACGATTTCTCACGAAAGACATGGGTTTATTTCTTGAAAGAAAAGTCTGAAGCATTAGAGGTGTTCAAAAAATTCAAAGTAATGGTGGAGAAGGCAACAGACAAACATATCAAAGCAGTTCGATCTGACAGAGGTGGTGAGTACACTTTGACGGTTTTTATGAAGTATTGTGAAGACCAAGGCATAAGGATATTCCTAACTGCACCATATTCACCTCAGCAAAATGGTGTGGCTGAAAGAAAGAATCGAACTATTCTTGACATGATTCGATCAATGCTTAAAAGCAAGAACATGTCGAAAGAATTCTGGACAGCAATTGTACAATGTGCTATTTATGTTCAGAATAGATGTCCAAATTTGAAGTTAGAAGATAAAACACCACAAGAAGCATGGAGCGGACATAAGCCAATAGTTTCTCATCTCAAAATATTTGGTAGTGTATCTTATGCACATGTACCAGATCAACGAAGAACAAAACTTAAAGACAAAAGTCAAACGTATATATTCATTGAATATGATGAGAAGACAAAAGGGTACAAGCTATTCGACCCCATAAGCAAGAAAGTGATGGTGAGTAGATACGTTCGAATAAACTAAGCAAGCAAGTGGGACTGGAACAATTCGACAGAAGTTATTGATGTAGTCGAAGAATCATCTATAGTTGTACCAACAAGCATCTCAACAGAACATGAAGATACCGAAGATGAAGATGAACCTCTACAACCCAAAATGCGAAGTTTGCAAGATGAAGATGAACCTCTACAACCCAAAATGCGAAGTTTGCAAGATTTATATGATTCGACAAATGAGGTACACCTTGTGTGCCTTCTGGCAGATGCTGAAAACATCAGTGTCGAAGAAGCGTTACGAGACAAGAAGTGGAAAAGTGCCATGGACGAAGAGATTAGAGCAATAAACCACAACAACACTTGGGAGCTAGTCAAATTGCCAAAAGGTAGTCAACCCATTGGAGTAAAGTGGGTATTCAAGAAAAAGATGAACGCTCAAGGAGAAATCGAACGATTCAAAGCGCGACTTGTTGCGAAGGGATACAAACAGAAAACAGGAATTGACTATGACGAAGTGTTTGCACCTGTTGCAAGAATGGAGACAATTTGATTGCTCATTTCTCAAGCTGCTCAAAATGGCCAATATTTCAAATGGATGTCAAGACAACATTTATGAATGGTGTACTCGAAGAAGAAATCTATGTCGAACAACCACTTGGGTATATGAGAATTGGAGAAGAGAAGAAGGTGCTGAAATTGAAGAAAGCGCTATATGGGCTGAAGCAAGCACCACGGGCATGGAACACACACATTGACACATATTTCAAAGAGAATGGATTCGAGCAATGTCCCTATGAACATGCCCTCTATGTGAAGAAAAATAGAAGTAATGTATTACTTGTTGCTCTCTATGTTGATGACCTTATTTTTCTAGACAGTGATGTTCAGATGATAGAAGAATTCAAGAGCACCATGACATGCGAATCCAAAATGACAGACTTAGGTATGATGAGATTCTTTCTTGGTCTAGAGGTTCGACAAGAAGAAACTGAAATCTTTATTTCACAAGAAAAATATGCAAAAGAAATCTTGAAAAAATATAAGATGAAAAGCTGCAATCCAACTTCGACGCCAATGGAACCAGGTGCAAAACTGTCAGAATTTGATGGAGGAGAACGTGTCGAAGTAAGCAAATATCGAAGTTTGGTAGGTAGTCTTCGCCATCTCACATGCACAAGGTCAGACATTTCATTAAGTGTTGGCATTGTAAAGTCGATTCATGGAGGAGCCAGTACACATACATTGGAAGGCATTGAAACGAATCCTAAGGTACATCCAAGAAACAGTGTCACTTGGAATGTTTTATTCAAGAACAGAAGACTACAAGTTAGTTGGTTACTCTGACAGTGACTAGTGCAGAGATATAGATGATCGAAAAAGCACTTTTAGATATGTGTTCTTCATGGAAAACACTGCATTTACTTGGCTTTCTAAAAAACAACCTATAGTAACACTTTCGACATGTGAAGCTGAATATGTGACAGGATCTTGGTGTGTATGTCATGCAATATGGCTTAGAAGATTAATGAGTAAAATGGAGCTAAAACAAAAAGGTGCAACGGTAATACAAGTTGACAACAAATCAGCAATCGAGCTGGCAAAAAATCCAGTAAACCATGAAAGAAGCAAACACATTGACGTTCGCTTCTACTTCATTCGAGAACATGTGAAGGAAGGAAGTGTCGAATTGAGGCATGTAGCAAACAAGGATTAAGCAGCAGATATGTTCACTAAATCATTATCAAAAGAAATTTTCGACAGAGACAAGAAATTGATAGACATGATGGATGGAAGAAACATTTATGTTTACAAAGGAGTTTTGTTGAATAAACTTTAAATGTTAGTGGATTTTTTATTAATAAGGTAGTGGAAAGGTTAAAAATCAAATGTAATTTAGAAAGTCAAGAGATAGTGGGTTATAATAATATTTAGTAATAGCATTTACTTTCTTAGAATAGTAAAAGTTTTTGGATCTATATAAAAATCGAGATTGTATTTTATTTTTAACAAAACGAGAAGTAGAAATTTGCTCCTTATTTAAAGAATTCAACTTAACTTCGGACTATCGAACACTAACAACACACACTTTTTTTTAGAAGCATTTGGTATTTAAAAGCTTACAAGTTTTTTCAATTCAAATTTGCATTTACCTGGATCAGGGCTTTTAACTTTTACTCTCAAAGCAACTAGAGCCTCAACTTGTTTACTCAAAAGTGTTGCTTCATGCTTAACTGCCTCCACCTCTTCCTTATAAAACACATTAACCTTGTCAAGCTCTTCATCAAGCTTCTCAAAGAACCTTGCATCAGCTTCACCTTTTTCTACATCATTCTCTAATATCTCAACATCTATAACCTTATCTTCAATACCATCATCTCTTTGATTATTGCTACCATGACGATGATGCAAGAGCTTATTATTGTCTTTAACTTTGTTGCTGCTTTTGAGTTGTTTCAATATTGTCTTGAGGCCTTCATAGTCCATGTAGTGTTTCTCCCATTCAGGCACCATTTGTTCCTGGAAATCTTTCTTAAATGTCATCTTTTCTTCTTTGGAAAATTTGTAAGACTAGTTCTTAATGTTTAGAGAAGCATTATATTCTAAGCATTATATTAGCATTATCTCCATAAAGTCTTAGAATATTGAAAACATGAGAAGACGCTCACACAGAAACACCGACTCTGACAACTTTTATTTTATTACGTATGCTTTTGAAAACTATAAAATAAAATTTATTCAAAATAGCATTATTATTGAACATATTTTAACAAGTGAATCGCCAATAATCTGTAATCTGAATTTGTAAGAAAACTCTATTGGCTTCATGATGCGTGTCTCCTTCTCTTCTTCCACCACAAAATAATCACGTGTGCCGAATACTTCTCTACTGCCACGTGGACTCACCGTCATATTGTTGCCTCGTGGAGTATCAATCAACTCTATAGCTAAGATAAGAAGCAATCATAATAACACTAACCAACCAATTTTTTTAAAAATTTATCTCACCAATACCTTTTTTCATTTTAATATTTTTTACATTTATAAAATATTAAAATAATAAAAATATAATCTCCCAATTCATTCACTCTATTTCAATTAAATATTATTAAATGTTAATTTCTTATTTGATAATTTTTTATTTTTTATTTTTTCCTCCGCTTCTTCATTCACAATTTCATTTTTATTAAATTACTCTTTTTAATATTTTTTTTATTTTTTTATTTTATTATTTTATCTTTTTAATCTAATTATTTTATTTTTAATATATTAAAATATATAAATATAATATATGATTATCATACTTAATATTTATTGATATATAAATATATAAAATATTGACGATGTATTTTTTTATGATAAATTTAATCAATTTTATTTATTTAATATTAATAAAAATATTAATTAATATATATTAAATTGTAATAAAATTAAAATTTTATTTTATAAAATTAAATAATATTAAATAATCATACATATAACTAACTTTCTATCTCACACGTTACTATCAGAATAATATTAATTTTATTTTTATTAATAATTTTTATTATTTAAAATATAATTTTTTTTAAATATCATAATTTCTTATTTTTATAGATCATTATCAATAAAATAATTATTTTATTTTAATTAATAATTATCTTTATTTAAAATACAATTATTATTTACAAATGTTAAAATTTCTTTGTTTTTTTCTTACGGATCATTCTGAATAAAATACTTATTTTATTTTAATTAATAATTATTTTTATTTTATTTGAGACACAAAATTTTTATTTTTAAATATTAAAATTTATCTTCTTATTTTCACGGGACAATATTAAAAAAATAATTATTTTATTTTAATTAAAATTATTTTTATTTAATATATAAAATTCTTATTTTTAAATATCAAAATTTCTCTTTTTTTTATGGGACACTATCAGCAAAATACCTATTTTATTTTAATTCACAATTATCTTTATTTGAGATACAAAATTTTTGTTTTTAAAATATTAAAAAAAATTATTTTTTCACAGATCACTATCAATAAAATATCTATTCTATTTTATAAATATTTTTTTATATAATTATTTAATATAATTAAATTTATATTATTACTATTTATTTTATAATTAAATAACTTATTTTAAAAAGATATCGTATTAGATAAATTTGTCAGTGAAATTTGCTTATATGTAAACGGAGGGATTGCTCTTTACTCTTCCAAACAAATTACACCCTACAAAACAATTCCATATTTGGCAAATATTCATTTTATTTTATTCTTTAAGCAATCCCAGGCAGCCACGTAGCACCCATAATCCATCTTATGTCTTTAACCCCATTTCCTTCATTTGTCAAAAACAAATATTCACTTTCCACTCTCCTCCTCAATCTCTTCACTCACCATTTCTTGTTCTGCTCACTCTACCTTCATCTCATTCAACACCAAATCTCCTTTCTTTTGTTTTTTTATCTATCAAGAATTAATAGAAGACTCGTACGTCTGCACGAGTAAATCTATTCATATCTTAAATTATTCGATAAAATTTGATTGTTGTTGATATATACGAATAATATTAATAACTATAAATATTTTTAAATATTTTGTTAAAAATAGTGAATCTCACTAATATGATATATAGATACACATTCAAAACTTAGCTATTGGTCAATTGTTGGCTGTGTAACTGTAATGTTCTTTGATCATCAAAGTTTGTTGCTAAAAAGAAGCAGTTATGTTGTCCCGTATATTTTTTCATGTAAATGATCTATAGGACTTTATAGAACTGTAATGTGATAAAAATTATGTAAGAAACCAATTCACCTCAGAAAACCAATAACAATAAGATTTTGAAATATTCAGAGATTGTAATTGCCAAATATCAATTCCTTACGCTATAAAGAAAATATATATATATATATAAATGGAACTAATGTAAGATATTTGGGTATCATAATCCCGGATAACTTCGAAGAATCGTGTTCGTACACTTTTCGAACAAAATATTTCGACCCTATTCTTGTCTGGGTTCACGAAATCTTTGTGGGGATAATTCTCGAAGAACAATCTGTTTCTGGCAAAAGAAACTGATTACAAATGTAGAGAGAAAGTGTCGTATTTCGTGTCTGAAACCGAGGCCAAATGACTCCTTATATAGGAGATCAATAACTGAAACCGAAAAGACACACCTGTTCGAAAAACGGTTATGTCGGTTGGGGAAAAGGATTCAAAATTTTCGAACGGGGCGCTGCCCCGCACCCCGCCAGGGGCTTCGCCCCTTCGAACCCCAACGGGGCGCTGCCCCGTATCCCGCCAGGGGCTTCGCCCCTTCGAACCCTGTTTCAATTATTCATATTCAATTATATATTGACTCGACGAGCGTGCACTCCGCACTTCCCTAACTCGTTTCTAAGCTTAACGCATAATTGCATCGGCCTTTAGTGAATCACATTACTACTAAAATACATTGGTGATACTAAAATCACCGACAACTAATATGATTTCTGAGTTATACTATGTGTTCAAGTAAAAACACTTTTAATACAAACTATAAACATATATCAAGAAGATTAAATTTACTAAAATTTATCTCTATTGTGGAATAATCTCAAAAGTCCTTTGCATCAGCAATACTCCTTGGTGTTATCATGAGAAGTTGTTAGACAATTACATTTTGCTTATTCCATCCAATGTACAAAACATGGAAATTGTACAGAACATGCAAGTTTTTTATATCAAAGAACATATTTCATCATGGTACAAAACATGGTACCAATTGTATCATCATGATGAAAGAAATTTGTATTTTCTATCATGCTCTTAATGTTTGACGAAGAAAGAGGCTTCATGCACACGTTTTTCATATTTCATGCGTCCCCCACATTTACTCCCACATTTATTCTTGTTATCTCGGATAGAAACTCCACTTAGGTCAGGTTAAGAAACAACAAGTATGCCGGATACAAATAAATTTTCATTGATGAGAAAATCTGTAGCCGAAACCAAACTATGCTCATGCAAATAGCCCAAGCATGCCGGAAAAACAACAGCTACTGCAAATAATTCCACTCATAACAGGAGCAGAAGACATTATCCTCAATGAACGTGACTAATGTATAAATCAACAAACACAACTAATGTAATTACATTATGATTTTTAATAAAAGAGTAATGCATAAATCAACATAACTAACATAATGACATTATGATTCTGGTCCATAACACAACCACTTTTGAAATTGATAGATTTTGCCACTGTTCTCCCTTTAGGGAAAAGTGATTGACAAAAAATCAGGGTCATATTTTGCTCTGCCTACAAGAAATACTCAAATGGTTGAAACAAAGCTTCAACTGTTTAAAAGGTGGAAGTATGTCAAGTTATATTGGTTAAGAAAGTAATCATGATCGGATCTTTGACAATGATGTAACAGTACACGGGGATCAAGGAACAGATTAATATGTTAAGGTATGCCAAAAGCAAGAAATGGTAAAGATAAAATAGTTGTAACTGTGAAAATGTTATAAATAATCAGACTTCGTTATGTCATTACTTTTCTAAAAAAAGAGACAAACCTTTTGTATTACTCTTATTGAATAAAATACACTTTTGGTCCTTATATAGACCTAATGCCTTTTACAATTCTCAAAAAATAACAGCTACTAATAAAACTATCATAACTTACTAACTTTTGTCCTTCCAAATTACATTGGCTCTTAATCTTCCTACTACCATATTTAATATGAAACTTATTACTAATGACATTTAAAGTTTACTCAACAAAACTCCTCTGTAAACTTAAATGTTTCTTCCATCCAGCATTCCTATCATCTTCTTGCCTCTGTCGAAGATCTCTTTTGATAGTGGTTTTGTGAAAATATTCGCTGCTTGGTTTTTGCTTGCTACATGCCTTAATTCGACACTTCCCTCCTTCACATGTTCACGAATGAAGTGAAATCGAACATCAATGTGTTTGCTTCGTTCATGATTCACTGGATTCTTTGCCAATTCGATAGCTGGTTTATTGTTCACTTGTATTATCGTTGGACCTTCCCGTTTTAGCTTCATCTTGCTTATCAACCTTCTGAGCCATACTGCATGACAGACACACCAGGATGCTGCCACATATTCAGCTTCACACGTCGAAAGTGTTACTATAGGTTGCTTCTTCGATAGCCAAGTAAATGCTGTATTTCCCATGAAAAACACATATCCAGAGGTGCTCTTTCGATCGTCTATGTCTCCGCACCAGTCACTGTCAGAATAACCAACTAACTTGTAGTCTTCTGTTTTTGAATAAAACATTCCTAGCGATATTGTTCCTTAGATGTATCTTAGAATTCGTTTCAGCGCCTTCCAATGTGTGTGTACTGGCTCCTCCATGAATCGACTTAGCACACCAACACTTAGTGAAATGTCTGGTCTTGTACATGTGAGATATCGAAGGCTACCTACCAAGCTTCGATATTTGCTTCCTTCAACTCGTTCTCCTCCATCAAACTTTGACAGTTTTGTACCTGGTTCCATTGGCGTCGAAGTTGGATTGCAATTCTTCATTTT